ATTAGATTAAATTTGATTAAATAATTAATTCAAAATTAATTTTTTTGTGTGTACTAAATTTAGTACAATAGCCAAACGGATACCCATTAATAATATAAATTTAAAATTTAAGTTTAATTAAATTTTATTAGGAATATCATAAAGGAAAAACAACTGAATATTCTGGTCCTGAAATATTTGGTTTGCATTTAGAGTTTGTAGAGGAGTGGATTAAAAAGCAACATCCTAGAGTATTACAACTAATTGATAATTTAAGCTTGTCAGCTCAAAGAGATCGGGCTAATAAAATTGCTAAATTAGAATATCAAACTTTTAAAGAAAAATGCGAAAGTCTTTATCATTCAAATGATAATCCTACTTTACAATCTTTAACATATAAAATATCAAATCAAACTTGGATTATTGATTTTAATTCCAAAAATAAAGAAAAAAAAGAACAGCAGGCTGAACAAATGGTTTATGCACTTGATCAAGGAAATATATCAAGAGAGTCTTATCGATCTTTAGCAGCAATTTTATTTGAATTACCTAGAGAATATATAGTTGCAACTTCTAGATATCAAATTGATAATATAATGAAACTAGAAGTTCCAATACATATTCTCGATATTAATAATTTAAGTTTAGAGAAAAATAATATAAATAAAGATGACGAAATACATATTGATGACTCAGAAATTGTTGAGAATCTTATAGATTCAGTTGGTAAATGTGGATATAGAACTATTAAACAAATGTTATTATTTTTAATTCCAGTTTGGATTTCTAAAAATATTTTAACTAATCAAGATTCAACAATTTATATTTGAATTTCTGGAGATAGCAGGAATGTTGGAAATAAAATTAAACATATGATAATAACCTTTACCATTCTTAATAATAATAATAATATATATTAGCCTAATAATCATTATACATTAGCATTATACTCAGAAACAGAAAATTATGAAACACTTAAAATTAGCTTGACACCATTAATTGATTGTCTTACAAATTTAAAAAATAATGGAATCAAAGATAATTCTGGAAAATATTGGAATATAGATCTATATTTTAGTTTGGATTGGAAGTTTTTAGCAATTTCTTTAGACTTTAATGCTGCAAACTCAAATTTCTTTTGCCCTTGGTGTAGTTGTTCAAAAAAAGATCTAGATAATAAAGAAAAACATTGGACAATTAATAAATCAATGAAATAAATTGTTGATAAACTTAATACTTATCCTGGACATATTAAATTACCCTTATTTCCAATAATTCTAATAACTCACTGGGTTGTTGATGAGTTGCATATTCTATTACAAATTTATGATCGACTTTGGAGAATTGTATTACAAGAATGTAAAAAAAATGGAAATTTTAATGATGATATGAGAACTAATATATGTAATGAAATTTATAATATTGGAGTAAAATTCAATTTCTGGCAAGATTCTATATCAAAAACTTGGAATTATACAGCATTGATAGGAGATGATAAATTACTTGTTTTAGAAAAATTTAATTTGGCTATTATGTTATCTTATCCACGTGCAGTACAAATATGCAAACTGTGGACAAACTTTTATCAGCTTTATATAGCTCTTAAGAATTCTACAACAAATTCAAATACATTTGCTAATGCTGCAAAAGCATGGTTTAATTTATTTTTAACATCATCAGATAATCAAAATCAAGGTCTTTATAAACCTGTAGATATAATTCCTTATATACATGTTTTCGTATTTCATGTTCCAGGATTTATGTAAATTCATCAAAACTTCAGAATAAAGGCATTCTCTTGTAGTGGAGTAGAAAAAAAAAATCACAAACATGTTTGTTATTTTTTTTCTAAAACTATGAAAGATGGTGGCAAAGCATATTCAGCAATTTTAGAAATTTTATTATATGAAAATAGATTATTATATTTTCAAAAACATAAAATTTCTACTTTAATACATCGACCAAAAAGACTTCATTATAAAATGTAATAAAACTTTAAGCAAATACTATAATTGTAATTAGCATTAAATATAAGAATTTTATTATAATTATCATAATATTATACATTTAAAAATAATACTCTTGATCTAAACAAAATCTAATTCTTAATTGCCCACCCAAGGTTTGATGTCCTTTTGAATCTTTAATACTTTCTTGAAACCATTCTACAGTCATTTCTGGTGGTACTATTTTAATAGATTTAAAATTTGAAATATTGTAAGATTCAAGTGACTGATCTTTATTTTCTCGTAAATATAATTGTACATAACTTTTTTGATTGTTCTCATAATATTAAGTTCCCCATTGTCTATCACCAAGTAAGTTTTCTAATATAGATTCAGCTTCACAACCTTTAAAAACACACCAATATACTCGCTTTGCTGGTAAAAAACTACTCAATTGACTTTCAAACACTGCTACAAACTCACTATCGGTACATGGAAACTTAATAAGTTGCTTGTCTGATTTGGTATAATGAAGAGAGAGCCGTTTGTGTATTTCATTTACTAATATTTGTTTGAATTGTTCAACATGTTGTAAAGGTAAGGAAATAATATTAGCAGGAGGTTGATTATAGGAATAGTAAGCTGAATTTTCATGACGAATAAGACCTTGAAAAGTCTTGTAATGCTTTTTATTACAAATAGTACACAGATACTAACATTGAACCAAGGAAGGCTTCTGTGTTATTACAATAGTTGTTGCTTCGAACATTTGATCTTGAAAGCTGTAACTCAATAAAATCAAGTCTAATTGCTTATTAATCAAATTTACGTCAAATTTCAAGTTTCACTATTAGAATACTACATATACCTTATACTAGCTAAAACTCATTGGTTCAGAGGTTAACTCATTGGTTTGACGTAATAAAGTAGCTTGTTTGTTGTTGGCGAACAATTTTTTTTAGGGTTAGTTATTGTTTGCCGATTATCTGATTATCTAAAAATAGGTTGCTTTTTTGGTCATACAATAAGAAATCATTTTGTAAAAAAAGGTTCAAAAAATGAAATTAGCTGATATGAATGGAACGATCTAGATTCGACTTTCATTTTTAATAAATATGCTTGCAATGGTAGTCTAAAATGGAAATAATCATCATTGTTTATATTATTTCAATATGTATTTATGTTTTTTTTAAAAAAATACTGTTAATTAGTGTTAGAGTTAGTGTTAAGGTAAGAGTAGAGCTTTAAAAAAAAATATACTAAAATTTCGCAAGGAATTTTTTTTGTTAGAATGAAGTAATTAGTTTCATAAGCGAAATTTCAAGATAAAAGCGATTTTTTAAAAAAACGATTAATGTTTTTAATTTTAACATTACACGCAGATCGTTCATGTAAATTCGATATAATGAACACTGATTGGATAAAAAGCATGATTAGCACCACCACAAATATGTCACATTACTAGTCACATGATATTCTATTTGTTATTATATTAAAAAAGAGGAAAAGCTACAAACACAGCAACACGTGATTTATCTCCCTTATCGACTTGACTTGAGTACCCAGATTTTGACCAATCAAATTATGCTATCAAATAAAAACTTTTCAAACTTTGAACAAAGATAACTTGGCAATCACTAAGCTAAATATGATAAACATTTATTTGGATTTTACAGTTGTATAATTAAAATAAAAAAAATTTATTGAATTTAGCTTGGTGGTTATTAAGATTTCTTTGTGAAAAAAGTTTGGCACAGCTTCCGTTTTGATAGATGTTTTGAATTTTGTCAACTTTTAACCAAAAATATCGTAATGACCACACAAGCCAACTTCGTTGAACTTCTTTTTATTTGAGTTCATTGAATCTATAGAATTAAAATTAAAAAAAAATTGCATCGAATTTGACTTGTTAGTTATAGAGATAACTTTGCTCAAAGTTCAGCAAATTCATCAAAATGAAAGTTGCGCCAAACTTTTTTCAAAATTTGAACAAAGTTATCTTGACAACCACCAAGCTAAGTTCAATAAGCTTTTTTATTTGGATTCTACAGGTTTGTAAAATCTAAATAAAAAAGTCCATAAATTTAGCTTGGCGTTGTCAGGATATCTTTGTTCAAATTTTGAAAAAAAAG